CAAAACTGGAAAATGAACGCATGAAGTCTCAACCTTTTCCCCACTGACCCACAGTTGAGAGCACTGACTAAACCATGTGCAGGAAATCACGATGATGATAAGAATACTGTATTAACTGCGACAGTATAAGTCTCACCAGACTTGGTACTGCTATTGATGACCATTCGGAAATCTCGGTACTTTCTTCGTCTACTCCTGGAATCATCTCCGGGAGACCAGAGAAGATGTGTATCATTGTGATGGACGACTTCTGAGTTGGCAGAGCGACAGTGAGCCGACAGTGAGCTGGCATCAAGGTCAACAAATTTGAATAAGGAAGAAGGTTGTCAAGCGACGTTGGTGAAGAAGCAAGGTAGTATGAGATCGACGGCAGTAAAGCTTGCTAGAAGTAATTGAAACGGGGCGTTAAAGAAGCGGACCTGTTGTGGCTGGGTCATGCATGCGGCTCCGTGAATGCAGCTGCAACGTGGAAGATATGATGTCATGTTCCTGGCACTGGATGTGTGCTTGAATGCAATCTATGAAGAATACGTTATTATTTGTAAAGAGATGGCAGTCATGGATGAATCGACGGGATGATGGGATTCACTCCGATTCTTGGATTATGTAAGTGTTTCATTACTCATCATGTAATATGACTTCTGCGATATGAGAACTTGTACGGATATCCTCAGCTGGATGAGTGGAAGACGATAAACAATCTCATTGAAATGACTGTTCTGCAGGACTGAGTCCTCCGAAATTTTCCAGACGAGATTCCAAAAAAATGCTTGGCGGCCAAATACCACCCCAGTAGCTAGTCTTGGGGAAGGCCGACCTACCTAGGAAGGTAGGTATTCTGAACGTAGAAATAGGTGGACTGTATCTTTGCCGCTTGGGGGATTTTAGCTCTGAGCATTTACGACGAGATGCTTCACGTAGCAGCCTACTGTAGAATAGTCTTTGATTCCAGGGGCAGTGGAATGAGTGTTTACCACCGCCCATTTTTGGATGATAGGTAATCACCAGTCAACTAAGAAGCTAAATGTAACTTGAGTTGTTTTAAACTCATTTGCAGGCACTGCTATTTCAAGAAAATAAATTTTACATGTAACTAGAACCGCAAATGAACCCATTCATGAACGCGAGCATTCAAAGAGAGTTGCCTTTACATTCAGTAGAATAGTAGAACACACCAGAACGGAGTGAAGTCCCAAAGTATAAAGCTTCTCAAGTCTCACCTCAAGTTCACTTCTCTTCAACACAACATCATACTCAAGAAACAAGAAACCCAGGACGCAGCTTCAACGCCAATATCAAACCGAACTCTCACAAGTAGCAAGCCGAATACCGAAAAACCAACTTCCAAGAACCCACACTAAAGCTACCATGTGCAACCACCAACCAGAAAGATGCCGCGGTTGCGGTAATAGCATGGGCATAAGGTGTCTCAGTACCTGCGCCGCGTACAAAAATACCGGATATTGTCCCAAACCTCATTTCCTCCCTGATGAGATGTGTGGACGCAAGTGCGCCGCTTGCATTGCGATAGTTAAGGCAGGCAAAACGTAAGCACGGGCGGGACGAGACGAGGTGGAAGGATAGCGGTTTGAGGAGGGTGGGAATTAGGGATGGACGCCTGGTATTATCGTTGCTCTCAAAAGTCCTTGAGACTCGTCACTGGTGGGCGAGATTCTAAGGGACTTGCTCGTTGCTTTTAGGATACTGGTATTCCGTTATCGTTGGACTTGGCTTTGGATGGAGGAATGTAACTAGACTGGAAAAACGAAGGTCTAGCAAAATGAAAATGTAAAATCGCAACGAATCGGCATCTTGTCTGGGGTGGAGTGAGCTTCGTGTCTATTTCAAAGATGCTAATATTCAATAATCCACAAGAACTTGGTTGAGAGAGATGACAATATGAATATAGGAAAAGACACAAGTGCAGTAGCGCAAACTTAAGGACATAAGTGAGAAAGGGTATGTACTAAAGTCAAACTTGAGTATAAGAAGTTGGAAGATGAGGGTATAAACAGGTGAGATATCGTGTCTCAACATGAAGCCAACTTAGCTTTACATATTCTCGGGATGATGGAAGGAAGAAAAGGATGTTGTGAAGATGGGAGAAGCCCCCGTCTGGACCAGAAGTGAGGCTTCCAGCCACCAAGCCCAGCGTATTCTAGCGCACCAGCCTCCCCCGCAAAAAGTTCCCAGCCTCGCACTAAAGCCGAGCTGCCAAAATAATTTTCTTGATGGAGCTCAATGCGCGAATCTTTATCCCACCAGCACAATGTCCCACTCTCTACACAAAACCGCAAACCAATTCTCAAGATGGGTAAAGGCAAAGGAAAAGCCGGTCGCAAGGAAGCCAAGCTCGCAGTCAAAAAACTAAAACAGGAATCCAAGATCCCCGGCCTGCCAAAACCACCGAAGCCAGAGAAGAAGGCGAAGAAGATCCCATCCCGCGAGAAGAGCGCAATGAACTCTAATCTACTTGGATCTGCGACGACAAACCCTCTACCAATGGATGTTCCGAAGCCATTCACGAAGAGTCCCCAGCATGCAAAGTGGCCGGCGCTGTTCAAGAAGCACCTTGGGGTTATCGAGTCGCATGTTCGGGCGCTGGACAGAGTTATGCAGAGTATGAAGTCTGATATGGCGGATATGCCCGAGAAGGAGAGACTTGATTTCGAGTTGGGCGAGAGAGGCAATTGGAGAGTTATCTGTGGGATGATGGATAGAGCGAGGGAGGTTCTGACAAGTGCGCGAGTCGCTGCGACGGGAATTGTGAGTATACAAGGCATTGCGCTGCTGGCATACGCTTATAGTATCTACAGGTACCACCGCGACATCTGCAAGACAAGAAAGGCCTCGGTATTGTGGGCACGACTTTCGAACCCCTTGTACCGAAACTCGAACAGAAAGCTGCGGATATTGGGTATGATCCAGTCGGAAAGGGCAGGCTGGGCAGAAACCCGGAGGACGTTGATGCGGATGGCGATAGTGAGATGACAGACTCTTCAGATGATTCGGATGCAGAAGAAAGTGAGAACGATGGAGTGGCTGGCAATGACGATTTCATCAAGCTCGACATTAGCTCGAAGGCCCCGCGATTCGCATCGGTCGCAGGCGAACCCACCACCGCGGAGGAAGAGAAGTCTGACGCTGTTGAAGCCAATCCCTACTTTGTCGTCGACGTTGAGCCTACACCAGTCAACTTGGCACAACCAGCACCAGAGAAGAAAAGCCGCAAGCAGATGAAGGAAGAGGCAGCCGCAGCGCGAAAGGCCCAGCGTGAAGCAAAGAAGGCAGCCTACGAAGCAGCAAAATCAGCACCTCCCAAAGAACCGACCCCACAACCCGAACCTGCACCCGAAGTCGACTTTGCGGAGCTCGAAGCCAGTTTACAAGCGGAGATTGCGGCGGGAACAAAGGCGCAGGAAGAAGCTGAGGCAAAGGAAGACAAGAAGTCCAAGAAGAAGAGGAGACGCAGCAGTGGTGTTGATGAGGAGGTAGTGGAGAAGAAGGCCAAGGTCGAGAAGAAGGAGAGGAAGCGAAAGGCAGAGGAGAGTAGTGATGCTGAGGAGGTTAAGAAAGCCAAGAAGGACAAGAAGGAGAAGAAGCGGAAAGCAGGTGAGGGCGTCGATGGCGAAGAGGCTGGGGAGGGAACTAAGAAGAAGAGGAAGCATAAGGGAGACACGTAGATGTTGGGTGATAGTCGGATGTGGGGGATGTTTACTTTACGATACCATGGTCTTTTCCTTTGTTACTGGATGGCTGGATACAGGTCAGGCTTGCATAGCCCATGGAGTCCAAAATAAGAGTCTTTGCCAGTATATTTGTTTCATGCTAGTTGTTATTTCAGTAACGGTCTGACAGTTAAGTATTCGGCTATTAGTACGTACGTAAAAACCTCGCCAGTAATTCGATTTTCGTTGCGCTTCATTAAACTTGGTAGCAACGTTGGATTTTGATGCCTCAAAGGTAATTGAAGCTGGGTGCGCCGATTGCCCGGTAGGGCTTAATGCCCCTGTAACTCTGGGTAGTCATCGCCCAAGAGGTCTGTTAAGCACTTAATAATAGGTAGGTACCTAGCTAGGTTCTTTGCTAAGGCCTTGAACGATCGCTCTAATTGCCATTCCGGTGACGGTGCTCCCGCTGATCACTACAAGGGTTTACAGTACCCCAATCCTGAATTTATAGCGTTGGTTAGTGTCTTTCAGCGCCTCCTCCCACCGTAACAAACCCCTGTAAAGGCTGAAGTCTGAAGTCCCCTGTAATCCCAGGACTTTTAGAACATATTTCCGTACGAAGTTACAGTTACAGCTACTCATTCATCAACGATTAAAAGACCCTAAGAAAAGCCCAGCGAGGCCTCTAACGAAGTAGATTGGAACAAAACTTAAGTAGTAAGCAAAGGATATGTGTGGATTTCTAATTTCTTTCCACTTTGACTTTGCTATCAAGTCTGTGTAAGATACTCGATAGAACACAGCCCTCCAACAAGCAGAGAGCTCAGGGCCTTTGTCAGCAGATGCATCGTGACCAGCCGGAATTATCACTCACCATCAGGTCAGAAGAAAGACAAGCCTGGCATGTCAGCTCTTCAAGCCTCTCCAAAACCTAATGAGAATTACTTATCTCTCTTCTGTACCCCTTCCCTTCTGATGAACTTATGCCAGCAAATGGCTTTATATTAGGAGGAGTTTGGATATTAAATCTGTGTTATGAACTCTCTTAGGTCAAGATGTGCCGGGTTTGGATAAAAACTCATATTCTAGTCGAAATCCCCCCTCCGTCTCCCCCTTTTTTTTTTTTTTTTTAGAATTTCTTTTTTACTGATTTCAAAAACAACAGTCATTGAAAAGGTTGAGGAGTCGAGCTCAGAAAGAAGTTCTCACGCCCTCCATCTAGAGTCTTGCCGCCTTAGCGTCTTGTGTGTGACTCCTGCAGATATTGCCCAGCTTTTTAGCGCTAGTATGTAGCGAGATAAGGGAAAAGTCATCATCCAACATGCAAAAGTCAACTTGCCAGAGTGGTTAATGGGTATGACTCGAATCTTCCTTCTGAAGGAACTTCTAGATATCATATGGTTTCGGCCGCGTAGGTTCAAATCCTGCAGTTGACGACTACGTGGAGCTAGTGTAGAGTTCTCTATTATGTACATTTTTGAATGCCCTCTTGAGGAACTTTTTGAGTGAAGATTTTTTTTTGAAACGTGAGAGATGAAGTGTTAGAAAATTTATACGCAAAGTAGGACCAGTCTACTGGCTGGCCTCCTATGATATTAGTAAAGTAAGAAACTAAGAGCTCCTTTTCATCATTTGAAAGGAATTTTTTAAGATTTCCTTTTTTATCTCACTGAAGATTATATTTATTGAAGTTTGTATTTTAGATTTTTGATGAGTTTTGCGACCGACAATCAGGTTTGTGGGGCTCGCATCGTCCTTGCTCGGTCACATTGGTAGTATTTGTGGGACGTCATCATCATGCCACCCTCTGCACGATATCAGAAGCAGATCAAGCTTTGCAAATCTCAAGTTCTTAGTCCTTCTGCCTTTGGAGTTCAGCCTCAAAACTATTTTCGAACTTTCGTGTGCCAAGGACTATTTCATCCAGCTAAGGGAACCAGGGACGATGTCTGCTAGTGAGCTCCTAATGCTGTGTAGCGCTTACTCTTTCAAAACCCAACAGCAATCTACAAGATTCCACGCAAAGATTTAATTATCCAGAAAGCAATCCTCTTGGGTTTCCTGGGAAAACTCGCAATCGAGAGGTGGCGGCTACGGCACGGACAGGCGCAAATAAGCGACATGCATGGACTACAAATTACCTCCACTCAACCTACTTTCTTCACATCTTCCATCAAAATTCCACCTTTCCCCAAGGAAATACGGAGTGAGGCTATATAATCTTATCATGATATAAGATGTCGACCTTAGGTCAAGAAAGAATATTCAACCTTGGAATGTTCTCCTGATAAACAAATCCGTCTCCAAAACCTCACCTCACCTCGACTTGCTCCCTCCCTGGCTTCAACTCGCTGGACTTGGAATGCCCCATCAACAGCAATGCAATTTTGGTGGCATATTTCAAATAAGTCCAATTCAATCAAATTGCTCTTGGGCTGATTTCCCTCAAAGATTACTTCACTCAATGGACCACAGATCAGGGGTCGTAGGAGAACCCGGTTCATGGTTTCGGGCCTGGATTTGGATTCTCCAAGACAACCTGGCTGAACACGGATGCGACAGACAAACTCTCGCAGGCAACCATACTATGTAAATGCTACACTCTCTCCGATTTCAACAAGCTAGGTTTGGATGGTTGACAGAGCCTGCAAGATGAAATGATCTGTCCCCCTCGAAGTTCTCACTGCCAGTCTGCAAGAGAAGCACGGAATTACAAATCAACAGTGAGAAAGCTCTGCATTTTGACAAATCAATTTGTGCTTGTAACCTGTTTGCGTTTTTTTTTTTTTTTGCATGTGGTTGATTCATTTGCCAAAGCTATGTTTCCATGGGAAGGCTCTCTGCAATTTTGGCATCACTTCAAGGAAGGTACCTAGCCGTGGCTTGAAGCACCAGCAGTGGATTGAAGGGAGCGGTATCTCTCTCACCATTGAATTCTCACCATTGATTTATCTGCATTGCTCCTTCTGCGAAGCTTGCCTGCATCTATGCTCTTCTCGCTTGGCCATCGAGGCACACACGTGTTTTTGTTCCCAGGGATTTGATTGGGCAAGGCGAGGCTCATGTCACACCTCCTTATCAGCTTGGTGGTCCTTGAATACCCAGAAGGATCTGTACCTCGTCCAAGTACTACAAGAGATATCTTCAATATGCATTGTTCCTATCTTGGGGACACAAAGGGTGCGGTTGGCAGCTTAGAAAGTCACAAATATGCTTCCCGCCGTTTCCCAGTCACAAGAAATATTCCCTTGAGCCCATTCACTGTCCGATGCCGGCTACTGTCACGAATTCCTGGTATTGAGAGTCTGTCAGCTCTCTGAATGTGGAATGGTGGAAAGCTCGAGCCTCCACGCAAAAACAGTCGTGAATGTGCCCCCCGTGGGGGTCTCTATAAATTCTGAATTCTTTCGTTATCAAGGTCAATTCAGAGCACAAAACTTCAAGAGAATACACCAGATTGAGATATCGCAGCCGCAGATCTCAAACATGAAGAACGCCGATCTATCAGAGGAGAAGCTACCTCCATCGAGCCCACGCCCAACACTCGTTACTCGCTGCCTCAATCTCGCAAGCTCAGTCAAGGCTAAGTTCATAGTGGTTCTCCCCAGTAACGAGGCCGTTGAAATGATGTACAACTACCTCTCTCGTTTCTCGTTCGTAACCCTTCATTGGGTGGCCTTCATTCTGTGGTCTCTGATATCCTCCATGTTGATTTGGGTCATCCAAGGACGTCAACGCACCATTGGCTACCTCACCTGTCTCTTCTTTGCAGTTTCGTCTGCCACCACCACAGGTCTTGCACCTACCAACGTTTCCACCCTCAATACTGCTCAACAAGCTATGCTGTGCATCAATTTCATCTTGGGAAGCGCCCCCGTCACCGGCATAGTCGTTCTGACTGTTCGGGGAAAATCAATGGAACGCAGATACAGCGAAGTCATCGAGACTCTGCGCATTGAAGAGGAGGCAGCTCAGGCCGCTTTTCAGCTCTCGCGGAAATCCGTTGGTGGGTCTCTCCATTACCAACTTCGCTTCTGGACATATGGGCTTTTTTGGGATATTTGCTGACATCCATCCCCAGAACTATCCAGCGAAAGTCAGGAAACTATCACGGAAAGTGAATCCACAAAGCTATTTTACGAAGATGCCCCCGTGGACCTGTTATCCTCCTCTGCCATGCGAAGAGCAACCATTGCTTCTAACTTCCTATACTACTGGAATGGCTTCCTCAGTAAGGCAACTGTCGGCAGAAACTCTACATTCCACGGCCTTTCTCGATCGGAAAGAGAGTCTGTTATTTGCGTCGAGTATCGTTCTATCAAACTGTTACGTCTCGTTGTCGCACTATACGTGTTTCTTTTTCAATTTCTGGGAGCCATTAGCCTTGCTCTATACTTTCAGCTCACCAAAGCAGATGTTGCTGGTCTTGATGGTGCCAATCCAGTGTAAGATTTGCTACATCTCGCCCAAAGGGGTCGTTCTCACTATCTGCAGGTCTCTCGGTATCTTCAACTCTATCTCGGCTTTCAACAACGCTGGAATGTCTCTCATGAACAATTCTATGGTATGAGATACTCTCCAGGCCTTTCTACATATCTAACATTCTTTGAGATGCTCTTCAGAACCAATCCATTCCCTGTGTTGATTATGAGTCTTCTTATGTTGGCCGGAAATACTGGGTAAGCGTATCTGTTTCTCCACTCTCCTTGAACCCGACTGACAACTCCACAGATTCCCAATATTCTTGCGAGTGATTCTTTGGGTGATGTTCAAGGTGGCCCCGCGAAGCTCTCGCCATAACCGTACCAGTGAAACCCTTACCTACATACTGAAATATCCGCGCCGGGTGTACACGCACCTGTTCCCTACTCAAGAGACATGGTATCTCGCTCTAGGCTTGCTGGTCTTAAACGGTATCGATTGGATTGCTCTTGAGGTTTCTGCACGAAACCTTTCTGAAATGAGAGATCTGTCGTTAGACAATAGGATCTTGATCGGCCTATTCCAATCGCTCTCTGTCAGATGCAGCGGATTCAACATCGTTACGATTTCTGCTCTGCCTGTTGCTCTGCTGGTACTGTACATTGGAATGATGTAAGTTCTCCATAACATCCTCCCCTGCGAATGACAGTCAATCCAATCCCATTCCTATTTCCGCAAAAGACCTCGTGAGTTTTGGATCAGAATTCTGAGAAGGCGTGTTTAGGTACATATCCGCTTTTCCAGTCACAATTATCATGCGAACGTCCAATGTTTACGAAGAACGATCCCTCGGCATTTACAGTCCCAGCCAACCCTTCCAATCCGATCAAGCTAGCTTCTCAATGCCTGGAACAGGTTCTCATGGCAAATTGTACTTCGTCGGCCAGCAACTAAGTTCTCAAATCAGCTACGATATCTGGTCAATGCTCCTGGCGCTGATCGTTATTGGTTTCAGAGAGGGCGGCAGCTCACCATCCGATATATATAATGTCTTTCCTGTTATTTTCGAAGTCTTTTCCGCGTACGCCAACATCGGGTTGAGTATGGGCTTGGCCGATCAATCTTACTCTCTCTGCGGCTCCTGGCACCGGATTAGTCAGGTCTGCACGATGGCACTGATGCTGCGAGGCCGCCACCGTTCCTTGCCGCATTCCATCGATCGCGCCATCCAACTTCCCGACAAGAACATCGGATCTCGAGAAGAGGCAGACGAGAGAGAGCGTGAGCACGAACTTGCTACGGAGCTTGAGATGGCGGACGAGCTGAAGGTTGATTGACGGTGCTTGTGATCACCTGAGCGACTGCTAGTCGTGATGGGTTTTGATTCCAACTGCAACCTGCTTGCTTAGACCTTTTCTGTTATTATTTATTGCTTTCTCAATAAATTTGATGACTTTGAAATCAGTATATCAGTATTTTGATTGGAGAACCAAAGGGGAATATCACGTGTGGACTGTTGCTGAAAGAGGATAATTACCCCGCCATCGCGGATTGCAACTTCGGATCGATTGCCCCTCAATCACGATCATCACTGCCAACTACGTATAAAACCACCAGAACACCACCCTATACAAGGTTTCCAAACGATTATCTACATCACATAGCATTCATTTGATTATCGATTTGTACACTACAATCCAGGAGGAATCATGGCTCTCATCTCAGGCCTCGCGCATGTCAATCTTACTGTCCCTCCTGGAACGCTTGACCAGGCAGCGGAGTTCTACGGCAAAACATTGGGACTGATACAATCTCCTGTTCCTCAACTTCAGCGAACTACATTGGCTTGGTAAGCTCCCCTTGCAACACATTTCTGTTGTTCTCATCATCAGATTTCCCCATACCATGTAGCCTTTGCATCCACCCCACTTTCCCCCGTTTCAATCCTCAAAATCGCCCTAACCCCCTTTTATACTTCACAAACAAGAACTCCATTTCAATTCATTATCATTGT